GAGATGGTTGCTCTGTCACCACACAACTTACAAATGCACATATGGGTTCCCCCTAGAGAGTCTGCACATAAAATATTCAACAGGTCTCCTGCTCTGCACCCTGTGATGCCACTTTTCTGAATCTTCAGAATCTTTATGGGAGAAATTTTAGTGCAATAGCAGGAATAATTGAGTTGCCTAATCAGGCCAGACCCACAGCACCTCACAGTAAGCTGTATGGGCATCAGTTAAAATTGGAGCACAGAATCAGGAATAACCTACACAAACTGAATCCTAGTGTCAGCTTGCTTCACTACTCCTTCATTATTCCAGCATGAATAAAGAACAAAGGATACAAAGATAAATTCCATTGTTTTATCCATGAATAAACCTCCAGGTGGTTGTGCTTATGTTAATGTCTGATGCTGAACTGTAGCTCTTCTGTTTCCCTGCAAAGAATTACAGATAGAAGTTTTTTCATATGTGCTCACACTGGCCTTTGTTTGCCAGTGGGAATCTCACCATGGCTTTAGCGGGAGCTTTAAAAGCTGCCAAGCACATTTGAAAATACCCCTGTAACTACTTAGCTGCAACTGCTTTTGGTATAAGCAAGCAAAATATTTACTTACAAAGCATAAACAGAAAAACATGCTGTGGCAACTAAATAAATCTGGTAATCCGTTCTGAATACAAAGACTGATTTCAAGCCATCAAAGCCTGTCAAAATGCATTTACCAGGTTGAACGTTCTTATAATATTAACCGTAATTTTTCATTGTAAGCCACCTACTCAGAAGCTTTAATAGATTAAATAGATGATTCTAGATAAATAAGATTTTGCTATAGGGAAGGGAAATTAAGTTTTGTTTCCAATATCTGATGTGTTCAGTTATGAAGATTCACAACTATTATGAAAATGGTTCAGTTATCAGAATTTATCTACCAAACTTTATTTTATATAAACTCATCAGTAAAACATGGAGAGAGAAAAATCAGCACATAAGGATAATTTGTTTATGCAAGAATATTTCCACTTCCCTGGAATAGACTAATAACATTACATTATATTTGACAATGTTTATAAGCATATTCTTCCCCTCACAAAGATAGAGAAGAGTTAAACTATTCTTAAAATAGAAACAAAATTACCTAAAAAACACTGTTAGAAGTTAGGCAAGAAGACAAAGCAGGCAAGCCATGATCCTGCATCGCCATCTGCCCTGCTGCACACTCAGAATTCCATGGAAGCATCTTTGGCAAAGTTTGTCTAGAAATAGGACTTCTGTACTAGGCCTTTGTGTGATGAGTGCTCAATTTGTGATAGCACCAATTTGTATAGAAGGGTACTGGATTTTCCTCACCGTCGTCTGAAAGTGGCCTGTCAGCAGCACTGGCAACTCAGATCTTCAAAACATGGCTTTTTGCAGGGATGTGCAACATCTTCATTATCGCATGTGCATGCTCACACGTTGGACCAACAACTCTTACCACTGACAAAACCTCCAGCTTCTCACTGTGAGGCTGAAAAATCAGACAGCTACTAATACTAGCACATTCCCTCTGTTCTTTGGGTAGGGAAAGGATTACTTGGTGCAGCATTAAACAAAAGATGGCATACATTACCCAGGCTAAACAACAACCATGATTTGCAAGGTTTACAAAGTAGAATATGCTTTTTGATGTACATGTGGACATGGTGCAAATAATCATCTTCGCCTCTTTGTATTTGCACAAATATCACAGCCAGCTCTGCAACCCCAGATCCATTAAGGGATGGTTTCAAGCGCCTAACGTGGCTTGTTCTCCAGGACATCCCAGCATTTGATTGTCATTTCACTTGATCTCTCCTTTTGCACAACCCCACCCTTGAAGGTGCTACACAACATGAATATAGTGACCAGGTTTGTAATCCTTGTTTTATAATTTGTTATATTCACTGATACGTATTGACATTTTGTTGTAAAAAAAAAAAAAAAAAAAAAACTGGAAAACCACACAGTGTAGCAAAAACTAGAAAGTCACTCTTTAATTTCAAAGCCAGAGGCCATTACAAGCAGGACCCTGCACCAATCCAGAGCCTCACCAAAACAAACGTGAGTGTGAAGAGCCACCAGCATGAAGCACCTTCCCAATGTGGCACAAAAGGCATCTGCAAGACTTGGTGAAATTCCCCATGCCCGGCAACATCACTGCATGCAAAAGTACCATGAATGAGACAAGTAGGTATGAACTTGGAAACCAGCAGAATGGAAAAATGAAATAGGAGATCTAAACTCCTGGTTTCAAAACTTTTAGCACATGACCTTAAAATATTTTAATAGTTAAAAAGGAAATCTTGTCTCTCAAGAGAAAAAACACCTGACAGCTTCTCTGCCTTCTTCTCTGAAACTGCTGACCTGCGAGCATTTGAAGATCATAAATGGGACCTTATTTGTCAAACAGGTGAACAATGTCCTCCCAAACACTTTCATCATGTTCACTTTCCTAAAGCATATTCAGGGAAAGATACAAGAGAGGAATATCAGATGGTTACTATTTCAGACACACATACCAAGAAAGGCTCAGCACTTACGGGAAACGCAGATGCCCCGTGACACGTGTGAGATAATGGCAGTGAACCAGAACCTGGTCACAGGATCCCAGCCTCCAGATGTTAAGCCTGTGCCAAGGCATTCACAGAAACTAGTGCTGATGTAGATAAAGCAAAGGCATTTACTTCTAAAGCAAGAGACGTATTGAGTGACACTATGATAAAAGCAAGGTCATGAACCCCAAGGGAATCGCTTGGTAGCATATCACTAGTTGCTATAGAAGTACTGCTTAGCTGATGGATATTTATTTGAACAGTGTGGCTTAATGAAAAGATACATTTTTGAGATGTTAAAATGTACGTTATGGATCACTCTCACTGTAATTTAATAGAAAAAGATAACTACATATCCATATCAACGTCTATTTATCTTTAAGCACCACTTCTTCCTGCTTTTCAGTCGAAGTCCAGGGTAAAATGTAGTAGCAGTCAAAAATCAATATAATCTCATGAGGAAACCACTGCTCTGCACCATGTACTAACTGAAGCAAGTTAAAAAGTGCCCACAGTCATATTCTATGGAAAGCCCATCCTGTACAAGCCAAAGCAATGACCCCTCCATCAAATCTGCATGAGTGCACCAATAAATGTCACAGCTGCTTCTGTGGGACTCTGTGGAGACATGCAAACCTCCACACATGACAGTAAATTAAGTTCATGGCTGCATCTCTTGTGTGCTTTTTAATGCCTTAAGTGGTTTTTAAATGTATGAAGCATGCCTTGTCTGCTGTTATTTTTTTTTTTTCCCGCCATTATTCTATCACTGTTGCTGGTAAACAAAACTCAGTTTTGTGTATATATGGTACCACCTTTTTCTCCTTACATATACACTCTTGGTTCTCTAAATTAAGGAACAACAATACTACCTAACTAAATGCACTTATGTGATCAGAAAGAAGTAGTTAAAAAAAAAAAAAATCTATATAATAACTGAATTTTAAGAGTCTAAATTACAGTGGAACCGAGACAGGAAAAATAAATATAAATAAATAAATGAAAGAATCATGAGGCAACTCAGGAACTTGAAATTCATTTTAACTTACGACGTTGATTGTAAAAGATAGACATGCTTATCTCCACATGGCTTGTGTAAACAAACAGATCTGGATGGTAGCTTGCTTAAACAGCAGCCCAAATGGTGCTTTTTAAAAACAAACAAACAGAAAACACAACTCGGATCCTGAACCTGACCATAACTACGCCACGACTTCAAAAGGATTAACCAGAAAAAAGTCTGTGGGTTTATTTATAGGATTTGATTTGCAGGACCAGAGAATATTTGTGTGCTTTCAGCAGTTTCCTGCTATTTCTGTCATGAATTGAAAAGTTACCAAAAAAAAAAAAAAAAAAAGAGAATTTGACCATTTGACCAATAGTATGAGGCAGTATGCTGAGTGGTAGAAAGGTTTATAAAGGAGAGAACTTTCCTTCCGGAGTGGGGGGAAGAGGAGAAACACAACAGAAAATTGAGAAAATATAGATGTAGAAGACTAAAAACAAGATGCCAGAAAATACACACAAGAAAAACAGTATCAAATTCTGGTTTTAAACTTTCTATTTCAGTTTTAGCTTTGGTCCTTTCCCCCCTGTGCCTAGCTGTATACCCCACAAATGTGAGCTCCCTCTGCTGCCGCTTTCCATCACCATTAGAGACTAGAGCTTCAAGCACACGAAACGTAATATGAACAGCGCAGTTAAATAATAAGGTTTAGCTAAGCCTTCAAAACAGATCACTTCTGATTTCAAGAACTGATCATAGAATGGTTTGGGTTGGAAGGGACCTTAAAGACCAACCTGTTCCCACCCCCCTGCCCCGGGCAGGGCCCCCTTCCCCCAGCCCAGGGTGATCCCAGCCCCCTCCAACCTGGCCTTACAGGATCATCTCCTGCTGATCTACAGGAGTCAAACCTGACTGTTGAAGAGTTATGAAATTTGACATCTCACAGCCGAGTCGGTGGGACTCGGGGCATCAGGGACAGCCCAGCGATGTACAAACCCTGCAGCAGCAAAGCATAACCTTTAGCCTTCTATTTCTGGGGCTTGCGAGCGTCACGTCTAAATTTAGAGTTTAAGACACTACCGACGTTGCCTGGATCTGTTGAACTACAAAAACCGAAAGCGTTTCCGAATGCGATTTCATTAACGAACGCCCCCGAAAACGCTAACGCTCCCCCTCAGATGGGAAGAGACATAACTGCCCGTCACACGGGCGCTTTTCCCATGTGCGGCTCAGGCTTCCTTTCCCGCTGCCCGATCTGTTTGTTCGACGAGCGAAACTGATGCCTCCGACGGGCTGGCTTTTGGGGGAACCCCCCCCCTTCCCCTCCCCTCCAAGTTCCCCGCCGCACGCCACGCGGGTCGCCGCGTCCCGCGGGGCTGTTGCCAGCCGTGTCCGCGCCCCCCCCCCCCCCCCCGCCCACCTCCCCACTCACTTGTCCAGCCAGAAGGTCCAAGGCGAGTGGAGCGGTAGCCCCGCCGGCTCGGCCGCTTGCCCGCCCGCCGCCTCCCGCCCGGGGGGGCTGAGCGCCATCTCCCTGCCCGGGGCGGGGGGGCGAGGGGCGGGCCGGGCCGCGGGGAGGGGACAAGGGACGCGGCGGGGGGAGGGACGCCGGAGGGGGATGGAGGGGGGCGAGGGGGACTCTGGCAAGGGAGGGAAGGACAGGAGGGAGGGGGGGGGGGGGGGGGAGCAGCGGCCCACGCGAGGGCACGGGTGGGGGGCCCCCACCCGCGTAGCCCAAAGAGGTGACCTTGACCTGGACCCTCCGAGCTTACGGGCCCGGCGGGGCTCCGGGGCTGCCCTCCTGGAGGGAAGAACCTCCGGGCTCAGTTTGGCTCGGCAATGCTGGCCGGAAAACAAAATCTCTCTAAAACCCCCACGGTTTAGGACACAAATCCCTTCAGCGTTCACAAAATGGAGGGATAAGTACCACGCAAACCGACCACGGGCAGAGAGAGTGACACAATAAACCTTTCCAGACCTGGAGAGGATAATCGATCTGTCTTCTCATCTTCTCCTCAGCCTCTTTAATTCACATGTTTGGTTTTACAGGGAGATGATCCTCATAATCCAGCATGGACACGTGCTAAAAACCTCACATTATTTTTGTAATAGTATTTTTAAAACTAAGATTCTCCCCAGTGGGACTATGCACAGTAGTAAAGTTAAACACCCACATGAGTGATAGCAGGATCAAAGACCATGAATCACAGAGGTTTCCTTGCAAGCACATTTAGTAGGATGAATAAATTTATATATACTTCATCCTAAAAGTAAAATCAATAAAGACACACTCCTTTAAAGAAAGAAAAATCTAACAGTAAGAAAGGGCAGAGATCACCCATAAAAAGCAGTCTGTACAGGGACAATGAAGAAATAAAAAAGTTAATGATTATGTTGTGCAGATGGAAAATGCTAACTGCTGAGTCAAATTAAATAAAATCTGGAAAACCAGTTGCACCATCTCTTGAAATTTAATTTACTGCTCTTTAAATAGAAGGCAAGATAATGACCGTTTGGGAAAGCTTGGAATCTAAAAATTCACTGGTATGCCCACTCTGAGCGTTTTCTATTTTAATGGTCAGCCCACCAAAAATGTTAATCCCGAAAAAAAAAAAAAAAAAAAAAAAAAAAAAACACACAATAAATGGCTGTATCTATGCACAGATTTTCTCAGAAGAGCTGGAGAAGACAGGAGGAGAGGAGGAGAATGCTAATTTCTTATAACCCTAAAGGGCCACATCTTGCCTCTGTGATGGCCATTGACAGCCTCCATACCTAATACATTTTTGGTGTCATCTGCTGAGTTTGCCAACAAAGTATTACATTTTGGATATGCAGCAGCCTCGCTCTGAAAATAAGGCCAAACCCCCTAGACTATATTACAAAAACTAACTTTGAATCTAGCACCTGTCTTTGACAGGAACCACACGCTTCAGTGAAAACCTCCAGATTCCATTATTAGAGAGCTGCTCATCATTTAAAACATTATAGCTCAGGTTGAAAACAACTTATTCTGTTATAAACAATCTGAGCTGCATGGAACAATATAGAAGTACAACCCCCACACCTCCGAGACACAGAGCGAGTACCAGGCAGCAGAACTCGTACCATTATTCCAAATGAGAGATGTAAAGCCTCTGTTTATTTCTTGTTTACATCAGTAAATACCAGGCTTCACAGTGGCACAAGGTACATTGCGGGAACCTCAACTAACAACAAATGAATCTGGTTGTGGAGGAAGGGTAATCACAGGATGCATTGAATTAGCACAGCCTTTGCCTACAGAGATTTCTAAGAAGTCGTGACACAGAGGCAAAAACGAGTCTCCCGAGATGGTTTGCACAAGGTAAAACGATCACAAGAACAGCATCCTGATTCTGCTTAACCACCTTACACTGCCAGCACACTTTGAATTAAATCAGTTCAGAAATTAAAAATCCCAGGAAATTATTAGCATTTTCAGAGAGATATTTATAGAGCTTTAATTACAAATTTAATTAATTTATATTTGTTGCACATCTGAAAGGTTCCTTTTTAAAGAAACCCTGGTGGTGCCTCCTCCTGTGTTTTTGTACTTTCTCAAGCAGATTTACTGTAAACACACTATGTTATGGTGCAAGCCTGTGCTACAGAATGGTGCACAGGTGAGATGAATTGCTTAAAGCTTACCACCACAGAAGGGACATCTAGTTCTATTCCTTACACTGTCTCCCAGCCATATTCTCCTTTTGCTTGCAGAGTTACCCAGGTAAATATGTAACTTTCTGCTAAGGCCTTATAAAGCAGGACTGTGTGGCTGAGAGCAGCAGTCAGCCAGTAGATTAGCTCATCTGATTTCAGATGGGTAACAGCTGAAATTTTCCCAGGTAACAACTGGGGAGAGAAAAAACAACCAACCAAACAACTGGAGTGGAAAATACTGTCCTGCCCCATTCTGTGTGCTCCTAGCATTGCTTGCCTGCACCCGGTTTCAGGCATCTGAACCTCTCTGGCACAGCAAAGGCCCAAGTCGCTCCATGCTGGGGCTAATTAGAGCTGAAGAAGCCACATTACAGCCAGAAGAAACAATGAATACTTCGTAACTCTTTTCATGGTTTTACTTGAGATTTAAATCCCTCCTCTTATAATCCTTGCTGATCCCAAAATCTTGACAGAAATGGGTACGTTACATGTGCTTGAAACGTTATTTGTCTGTTGCAGTAGCTTTTCCCAGAGCCCCTGCTCCCAGCTAGTGCAGGAAATCCCTGTGATATAAAGCAACAGAGGTTCAAAGGGGCAGACTGCCTCTTCAAACCGTCAGGACCATCCTTTCTCCTGCTGCCAGTTGTGTACCATCACTGTGGCAACTGCAGTGCCTGCGTGCATGAGAAATATTAGGAAAGCATTAGGCTTATTTTAGCTACATTCTAATGCAATGTAGCACCTGGAAAGGAGGAAGGGAACAAGCACTATATGAGCAGTCGTACTGCATTCTGCCCTGGAAGTGTTCCACAGCTATTTCTGAGGTGACAGGTACCGCACCTTAGAAAACATCGAATAGATAACCTGGGTTTGTTTGTTCAGTGCTCCTGATACAAAATGAGCTGTGTGAAATGTTGGGCTAGACCTCTCTCCAGCCAAAGCTTCTCTTTTTTACTCCAAGGCAGAGCTAGTTGGAGCATAAACCTTCATGGACTTGAGGGATGGCTCAAGCACAAGCCTTGGCTGCTGTGCCCAGCTGCTGCCCCGCTGCCTCGCAGGCTGAGCCAACTGCCATGAGATATAATTTCTCTACCAAATATTGGTGTCACGATCACTTGATCTTGAAACACTGCCTGGGACTTCAGAAGCATATTAAGTAACACGAGATCTGCTTCTGAGAGGTTCCCAGGAAGATAAACTGATCAGCCGAGAGCCGAAGCAGAGGTGAGGATGAAGAGATTTTATTTGATATTTGCTTCCAGAGGCTTAAATAAATGTTTTTTAAAACCTAAAACATGATCTTAAAGTGCTGAATCCCAATGCTTTTGGCAAAAGCTCCCTCATCTAGGAATGATTTCATATCAGCCAAGCTGTTAAGCAGAGGTTGTCATGGAAACAAGTTATATTCAAATGATATGGCCAGAGAGATACTGTATTTAGTGAGTTCTTCATTTGCTGCATATTGGGAACATGTCAGAACTAAATGATATTGCATAACTTTGTTTTGTTAGAAACAAACTGGCTGGCTGCCCCTGTTTTTCTCGCAGGCTTGAGTCCAGTCCTGACTGGGACAGAAGGTTTCCCGCACAGTACCGAGCAGCGCTGCCCGGGAGAGGCTCCTCACACAGCCGGTTCCTGCAGGCTCCTCTTCATACAAGTCTCCCTCCAAATTCATGAACCTACCAAGGTCAAGCAAGGAGTCCTTTCCTTAGCTTGAAGAACTGACATAACCGTTCACTAGTCCAAAAAAAAAAAAAAAAAAAAAGTACAGTTCAACTAGATCCTTTCCTTCCTTACTAATAAGTTCCTACATATACATTGTGAAAGTCTAAACCCCAAAATCTACACAATTACATAAAAGTAAAGTTCATGTGCTCATGGGCATCCCACATGTGTCCATGACTTCCTTGTATATATAGGACTCCTATTAACTTACTGTCTGTGAGTGATGCTAGAACAAATCTCAGAGAAGACCATGTGCGTGCTGAATTTGTACATCTGCTTTTTTATCCGTGGAGCTGTTAAAAAGTGCAAGAATTCTTTTCCACATGCTACGGGTAAATACATATTTTTTACATAAACAAAATCAATGGAATAGTTCTTGCTCGAGTTATAAACCAAAATCAAATCAGCTGTCGCCCGGACACTGTGTGGAAACTTCAGCCTGAAAAGTGAAAACAAAATTGAAAGACAAAATTGGTTCCAAAATCACTGTCACGGGAATTGCTGTGCAGCTTTTACAGAGCAGCATCCAAAGGAAAGTGTTTTAAGCAGTCTCCCAAGGCAGCAAGATTCCCAATTGCCCAATAGCAGCTGAGCATTAAGTAAAAGTCAAACAAAAGTAAAACCTTACACTTAAAGTTGTTACATAACTGATCATACTGTAAAATGATTCACAGGAAGGTGATGGCACCTCATCACCTCTGGGTCCAGGGACCTGAGAAAACAGAATGGAAGCTTACTAACTTCTGGGGCAGGTAATCCTGAATTTCTCCAGGCTTTCTCTCTATCGAAGTTTATAAAGGAAAACCCAAGGCCAACTAGCTCCTCTGGTATATGAAAAAGCAAATCACAGGACAGACTTCTGCCAGATGTGAACTCGGAGAAGGCAGTCCAGGTCCTCTACCTACCTTAGATTAGTGTACTAGCTGGAAAGACATCGGTGTTTCCAGGACCCTTGATGCTTTGTAGAATCACAGCTCTCTTTAGCTGCCATCGCTTGTGAAGGAAGGCTGACCCTCACCCAAAGTCCTTTACAGTTAAGTAAAGGCATGTATTGACTTCAATATGCTTTAGATTAGATCTTTATTCTTTACCTAGCCACCTCTGGGGAGGTGAACTGGCTTAACTCAGCATTCAATC